ATTCGGTGGATGGATGATATGGGTGTGGTGTATCAGTCTAAGATGACGACAGTGTCCTATAGAAGGGCCTCGACTGATATCCAGATGTTTCTAGTGCGCTAATTAGCGAAAATTGTTGCGGTGCGCTAATTAGCGGGAATTGTTGCAGAGTACCAAATGGTACAAATAATTTCAGAGCGATGGTAACGCTGAGCAAAATTCGTTTAGCTGTAGCAGACGACCTTCACATTTTAGGAGCGTTGCAGACGATTTGAAGGTGGGTAGAGCGGTATTGCCTCAGCTGTACGAGTGCGCGACGATTCTATTTTCGGACATTCGTGGCTTCACAAGGATCTCGTCCACATCAACACCCTTCCAAATTGTCACCTTCCTGAACGATCTCTTCTCGGGTTTCGACTCGATCATCGCAAAACATGACGCTTTCAAGGTGAATCGTCAAGCGATCGTCTCTGCTCGATGTTTATGCTCTCTATTGCAGGTGGAGACGATCGGCGATGCGTATATGATCTCGTCGGGAGTGCCGAATGAAAATGGCAATGCTCATGTGCAGCAAATCGCTGAAGTGGCACTGAAAATGCGTTCGGTGCGTTGCTTAACTCTATACTCTATCTCTATTGTATAATACTAATTTACTTTTGCAGTTTGTTTCCAACTTCAAGCTGGCACATCGACCCGATGAACAGATGATGGTTCGCATAGGTTTTCACAGTGGTGCTGTTGCGACCGGTGTAGTTGGACGAGAAGCGCCTCGGTATTGTCTCTTCGGTGAGACTGTCAATATCGCCTCTCGTATGGAATCGACCGGAGTTGCGAACAAAATTCAGGTTTGTTAATTTGTTAATGCTGTGTGCTGCTGGCAACATTCATTCCGTCATTTGCAAATACTCATATTTCAGATCAGTGAGCAATCGTACAATCTTCTGCATTGCTTCTTTCCGGTGTTTTCAATGAGCCAACGAGGCAAACAAAAAGTTGACGATGTAAGCAGAAAGTTATTGATTTGAAAGTTATTGATGTGTTGCTTGAAGATAGACTGATATGACAACAACAGTGGTAGCGCTTGATTGAATGATGTTTCTGTTGAATTTAGGACGGTAACGAGGTGATGACGTACTTTTTGGAAGGGAAGCAAGAGGCGTAAAGGCAAGAGGCTTCATCTGGCAGCACTAGCCGGGATGCGGCAACACAATAAAACAGTGCTGCCACCGGGATGCGGCTTAGACTGATGAGACGGCCGCTGTCTATTTTTGATTTTATTTTATTGTACTCGTAAATTATGCTCTGCTGCATTGTTGCTGCTGCTTTTCAAATGCGATAAACTTCGTGAACTTTTTGTTTTTCGTTTCTGGTGGTATGAACAGTGTTATTTAGTCTGCATCGGTAAAGCTATCTTACGATTGGTCGTTTTTATAAGGTGTATAAGTAAGGTAGGTGCAAATTAGCCACACGTCACTCACTTGCCTGTCAGATATTTGTTGGGCAATGATGAAACGCTGCCATTTTGGTGGCAGCCAGTCGTGATGGTAGTGATCTTGCTTGATCACTTGGTAGTGAGCTTGTTTGATCACTTAGTAGTGATCTTGCTTGATCACTTAGTAGTGATCAAGCAATATACAATCAAAAAGCATTGGTCACTCACAACACCGTTGCATTGATACGTAAATATAATGTAAGTTTTAATATTTCGAACTCTTAATGAAAGCCACATAGTCTTGTAAGGAAAAATTAATTACGGTAATCTTTTTTGGCTCATTTCCAGAAACGCACGCATCAACAAATTAGTCTAACTCTGTCAATTGATTGTTGTTGTTCAATCATGATTGATTTTGATGAATGTTTTGCAAAAATTTTTTGATTGGTTCTGTATTGAATTTTAATTAGTAGTGTACTCAGCAGGCGTTTCATGTTATCGTTTCAAAAAATTGTAGCTGCTCGACGAAGTTGTTGGGACGCCCGTTTTTTTTCATTGTTTTCATTTTTGATTCTTCGTGTGTTTTCATTTTTGCATTTACATTATTCGCCAGCCAGCTGTGTTTTTTCCATTCGACATCAACTTAATGAGTTCCGAATTTGTATGATTCCGTAATGCGGCACATCCACTGCGACATCAGCAGTAACTGTTAGTAGTATTGATTGGTTGGTCTGGCTTGTTGTTCTTGATGCGTTGCAGTTTATGTGAACGGCACTAAAGCACTAAACTGATTTTCATCCTTATGAAGGTGATGATGATATGCTGTTGGTTTTTTTCGGCGTTTAGAGAATTTCGATAAGATTGCTCATGGTCTTTGTGAACATATTTAGCACTTGAAAGGCAGGCAGGTCTTTGGTGCATCGTTTGTGCATTCTTTAATCTAAATTTCATACTTTACTTACTTTCTGCTCTTCTTAATTGTAGCTTGTAGTGAATATGTTGTGTTCTATGAACTTATTGTAACTGTTTGTAACTGATGTTTGAATCAAATATTTATTGATTCGTTGCTGTGCATATTGCAGAGGCTGCAGCAGCAGCAGCCATTTTTAAGCTCGAGTCAGTTGGTTTGGGTGCACTCGAATGCATTTGGTGCCTCTATAGTGGCTAATTATTCATTATTTATAACTAGTTCGTAATGAACCGTCCTTGATTAATACATCCATCGCACATTATTCTTATATCTGTACTAAAGAATAAGTATATAGACACCTATGTATATGTATATGTTTATTCAAATGCGATAGAATGAAGTGATATGTTGGTGTTGTGCTCGGAGAGAGAACATTATGGGATAGACGTTGTTTGTATTGATTACAAGCTGAGCTGCTGCTGCTGCTGCTGCTTGCAAGAAGGCATATAGTATATAGCAGTTGATTTGATTTGAACCTATATGCAGCAGTAGTACAGCACATAAACATATATAGGTGATGTTGATGAAGTGTTAATGATGTGTGAGCGCAGCATGATACATTAGATATAGAGCAATAGCCCTGGCGTATTTGGGCAAGTGCAGTGACGACTGACTGTGATCAGCATGTATAGATTTGGTTGATCCATTCGTGTGAGTGAGTGACTACTGAAATCGATTTATTTATGCGTTGTTGATTTATTTATGTTCATTTGAATTTAAATGACTAGTTTACGGACCATCTTTATTGACCAATTGCTTTAGTATTGTGCTGCTGTTGCTTGGTGCAGCTGATTATCGTTCGTATTCTGCGGCCGTATTAAAAAACCCCGTTGAATTATTTCGTTTTATTTTCTCTCGTATGTAGTATTGTATATTGTGCAAATTCATTGATGATTATTCATATAACAATTGTAAACATAATTAATGGTGACAGATTAGAGCGTACTCGTAATGATGTTCGAGCAGCGCGATTCAACAACACATATAGCAGAGCATCAGTAGAATCATCGTATTTGGATCAAGTGATGTTTTATTTATTGTTGTCTTCATGTGTGTTCATCACGAGCACGCAAGCAGTTGATATTGCAGGTATTATTTTTTGTTTGTTTCGTTGAAGAGTTGCTATGGCTGGCTTTATCCATTGTTGCAGAAGACGTATTGCCAGTGATAACAGAGCACCCGTTGGATGTGATCGTAGCCAAGGGTGAACCGGCTGCGTTGAATTGCGCTGCGAAAGGTCGAGATCTCGAGATATCTTGGTATAAAGACGGCGTTAAAGTGATCACAAACAAGGATGAGACGACCTCACATCGTTTAATTTTACAGACCGGTGCTTTGTTCCTGTTACGTGTCAATAACGGTTCGTTTGCTTATCACTATGAGTGAGCAATGATCAATAAGAGTTGATTGATGCATATAGGTAAGAGTGGAAAGGATGCAGACTCGGGAACGTATTATTGTGTTGCGAAGAATAAATATGGTGAGGCTAGATCGCGAGAAGCCTCGTTGAAAATAGCGATGCTCAGGGATGATTTTCGAACGAGGCCGCGCACAACACAGGTTTGCTTTTTGAGTGTTGTTTTTTTTTGCATTATTTATTCTTATCGATGTATTAATAGCATGGCCGATCCAGGTAATCCAGATTATTCTTATGGTTGTAAACTTGCAGGCAGTGATCGGTAATCGAGCCGTAATGGAGTGTGTGCCTCCGAGAGGTTTTCCTGAACCGGTTGTCTCATGGCGAAAGAATGATGTGGAGTTTAGAGCGCAAGATGATGATCGAGTAACGATGTTACCATCTGGCAATTTGATAATTGATAAGGTGAGGCAATTAATTATTATTGTTACCATTCAGCGAGAATTAATTATTGTTGTCAGACGAATTAATTAATTATTGTCATGCAGGTGCAACGCTCGGACGCCGGTCTTTACCAGTGTATCGCCACGAATATGGTCGGGCAGAAGGTGTCTAGCCCTGCGCGACTCTCAGTTTATGAGAAGCCTTATTTTCTGGTTGGTTGTTTGGTTCTTTTATTGATTGGTATGAAACTGATAGAGTTGGCATGAATGTGGCATGGCATTTTTTTATATGTGTGTTGTACTGGTTACGGTTCATAAAAAGACTCAGTCATATGTAGCTGGCTCAGTGTTAGATGTGTTTGGTTGGTGTGCGGTTGGTTGGTTGCGCGTTTGGTTATGCGATTATCATCTGTGTTTGTGCTTCGTTACTAGATACTTGATTGTGTTGTAATAATAGAGACACTAGCCTTGTTGGGTGCTGGCTGTGTTGTTTTACGTATAATATAAATGAATTGAAGCAAGAACCGCGAGACGTGACCGCAGATGTGGGTACCTCAGTGCTGTTCGATTGTCGTGTGTCGGGTGATCCGATGCCGTCGATTACTTGGAAGAAACGAAATCAGCAGATGCCAGTTGGTCGGGCTTATATAGCCACTGATAATCGGGGTCTACGAATAGATCGGTCGGTATTAATTTCATTGACATTATTATGATTGGCTTGAACAGAGTGGTGAAAATAGACGTTTGAAGGATCGAGGCGAGTGATGAAGGTGAGTACCTGTGTCAAGCGAAGAATCCAGCGGGCAGTATCGAGACATCGGCACGCTTGAGGGTGCATTCGGCACCGACCTTTATCAAGACGCCTCTGGATGTGAGTGTCGAGTCAGGTCAGAGTGTTCACTTCGACTGCGAAGCGCAAGGACAACCGCCTCCTGCTAGTTTCTGGTCAAAGGAGGGACAGCAAGTTGGTTGTTTATTTGGTTTTGTACCCGTAGGGTATGGACCGAGCCAGCATTCCATCCGGACGAGCATCTACTATATAGGTAATAATTTGAGGATCTACTATTTCCTGGGCACACGTCACTGGATGGACGCGCAAAAGTTTCGTTAGATGGTCGTTTAACGATAACAGATACACGGCCTGCCGATGAGGGTAATTATGTGTGTGCAGCGATGAATGCAGCTGGTAGTACGTTGGCTAAAGCGCAACTGAAAGTGGACTCGAAAAGTATTAATTCTTAATATCGTTTTGCTTCATAAGTGGGCGATAACCGAGCCTATCGTATTTTGAATTTCATTAGGGCAAGGTAGTAAGGTAAGTACAGCAGCATTTGGCGTTTAGCGTTGCCATCGAATCCACCGCCGATTATCGAGCACGCTCACTCGAATCAAACGCTTATGGTGTCTGCATCGGCGATATTGCCGTGTCAAGCGAGTGGTCGAGTGACACCGCAAATCGACTGGTTGAAGAACGGTGAATTGATCATCAATGAAATCGCTAATGACGAACGATTCACACAACTCAATACCGGTTCACTGCGTATCTCTGACCTGAGGTTTGTTTTGTTGTTGTTGTTGTTGTTTGATTATAGAACTTTTTCAGGTAGGTATATATGTGGAAACGTAGACGTGACACTGACTTTTACTTAGAAGATTTTAAAATTGAAACGTCTCGTCATCCTCTTATGGATGAATGTCAGATAAGAAGGAAGTAAGTAATTGTATTGAGTTTATTTGTAGGAAATCGGATACTGGTCTGTATACGTGTCGTGCACGCAACGTTGACGGTGAATCCACATGGACGGCCTCACTGATCGTGGAAGGTGAGCTTAAGCCTATTATTGATTAAGATAAAGGTGTTGATTTGAATAATTCAGAGCATACGAATCCGTCAGTAACGTTCAATCGAATGCCCGATATGTCGACGTTCCCGTCAGCACCGGGCAAGCCAGTCGTCTCGAACGTCACGGACAGCAGTGCCACCATCCAGTGGACGGCTCCGGAGAAGAGTGGTGCGACATTGGTCACCGGCTATATTCTGCAGTACTTTTGTCGTGAACTTGGAGAGGTAGGTGATTGGCTGCTGACTTATTATCATTATTACTATTATTATTACTATTACTATTATTATTACTATTATTATTATTATTACTATTGTGAACGCATGAAGTGGTTTTAGACGTGGTTTAATGTGGCGAATTTCATCTCGACAACTCGATACCGCATCAACGAATTGAAACCGTCGCATTCGTACGTGTTTATTGTGCGTGCAGAGAATTCGCATGGAATCGGGGCACCGTCCGAAATGAGTGATGTGGTGAGGACGAAGCCGACTCGTGGTGAGTGTTCTGTTGCTGCAGCAGCAATGTTTGCGATGGCTATTGCTTCTAACGGCGTGTTGCTTTCAGCTGAAAAAGAACTGAAAAGTGCAAACTCGGATTTGGAGTTGGCCAGACAACGTATTGCATCGGAGCAATTGCTGAAGTTGGATGAAGTGAAGACGATCAATTCAACTGCTGTACAGCTTACGTGGAAGGTAGGTAGATTAGATTTTTTAAATGTGTGTTGTTAATGGATGGTGTGCAGAAGAAAGAAGTTTAAGAAACGACGCAGCGAACCATTGATCGAAGGCTATTACATCAAATGGCGCAGTATAAAGAGCTGGCATAGCGGTGAAAATGGCTGGTTGAATGTGTCCAAATCGAGCATGACCTCGTTCGTCATCAACAATCTGAAGGCGTTCACCACCTACGAGTTCTTTGTGATACCGTATCATAAGAGCGTTCAAGGCATGCCGTCGAACTCGCTGGACGTGACTACCGATGAAGCTGGTGCGTGCATTGCATGAGGTTGATAGCAAAGTATGTGATGCTCTCTACTTACTACTTACAGTCTACTTATAGCACCAACATCACCGCCGAGTGAGGTGCGTATTCGAATGATGAATTTGACAACGTTACGAATCTCATGGCGACCACCTGCATCGGACGGTATCAATGGTATCTTGAAAGGATTTCAGGTCAGCTTATTGCTATTCAGAGAGGGAGGTTGAACAATCGTCGTCTGTCTAACGAGAAGTAAATTGTTTTGAATAGAAGACAAGCGACACACTACTTAAATTGCACGAGTGTGGCTGGTGTAAAAGCGTGCAAATATAGATGTTCAGATAGTGATACTGGGCAGTGATGCGAAGTACAATCGAAATATCAGTACAAACGAACGTGCCGCCAGTGTGACACTGTTTCATCTGGTTCCGTCGATGAGTTATAACATTAAAGTGGCGGCGAAGAGTAACGCTGGTGTGGGTGTGTTCACACGTGTTTTTCGTGTTACGATGGGTTGGTTTGTGCTGGATTATTATTATTATTATTATTGTTTTGTTGAGTTGAAAGAAAGGAAGGCAAATTTTAAGACGAAGAAACACTCGAGGAACATAATCGTTTGATGAGTGGCATTGGGACGGCATCGGATCGTCTGCTGTACGTGATCAAACGACCGTGGTTCATCGCCGTTTCGGGTGTCTTAATGTGGATTCTTTTTGTGGCTCTAATTGCGCTTATTTGGTGGCGATGGAAGCGCTCAAAGGGAAAGGACGCTGGTAATCTTATTCAGCATTTAATCAGCAAATACAATTTATGCCTCTTATCACTAATATGTGTGATTGATATGAGTGTGAAATGATCAAATCACATTCATCTCGTATTCTTATAATTGTTATTGAGTGAATTGATTGCTTTCAGGAATGCCCTTCATAAAGATCAACGACGGCAGTGTGCATTTGACGGCTCGTGACGCACTCTGGATGGATCACACCAACTTTAACATGAACACGGCGCAACGCACACTGTTGCTCAACACGAACAACAGTCAGAATGCGGCTGCGGCTGCTGCGGCAGCGGCGTCGTTGCCCTACATCGGTAACGAGTACAACTGCAAACCACCAACAGCACCCTCCAATGTCGACTACTACATCGACCACCGTCACTACAACGACAGCAGCACAACGACAACGCACTCTCCGAACCACTATCAATACGCCACCACAACCGGTAGCACTCCAACGGCGGCAGCAGCAGCAGCAGCTACTTATGGTGGTGTTCAGCCGTGTGCGGCCGATGCGGTAAATACGATCATGTCGACGTTTTATGCCACCAATAATCTCATGGCTGGTGGTGCAGCTGTGAAGCCGTCCAGTTTTCACCAGCAGCCACAAATAATGGTTCGTTTGTTCGGTTTGGTTTGGTTTCATTTTCGTTTAGTTATTAGTTGGTTCAGTTGAAAGTAAACAGGCGGCAGTATGTTAGGATGCGCAGTATGATATTATGAGGAGTTGGGGAGTAATAAGAGTAGTAATTAAACGTCTTTCAAGTGCTACTCTTATTATTACACACCTCCATATAGAATCTCAACTTGAATTGAACTTGAGAATGCGCATATCGTGCGTCATATTAGTCCTAATTATTGTTGTTGTGTAAATGAAATAAAATCTAGGATGATCCGTCACCATACGCAACCACAACGTTGGTGATGAGTGGTGCTACGCCTGCCANAAGATGCGAGATGGTTGAAAGAACACATGCTCAGGGCGCCCACCCCGCTTCTGCCCAGTAATCCGGTGCCATCCGAGCCACCGCCACGCTTTCAGGATATCGCATTCAACACACCTTCTTCACAACTGAATGGTAGGTAGTGCTGTTTTGTGTATTAATCAACGTCGTCCAGTTGGGCGCTTTTCAATTTGTGCTTAATTGCTAGGTTAGACGAATGAAATTGGTTTGATTGTAATAGACTCGTTGCTGTATATAAATAAGTAAGTATAATAAAGTAATAAGTAATAAAGTAACAAAGTAATAAACTGTAAATAAAGTAATAAATAAGTATAATTTAAGGATGTTCATCGTTATTGTTAGCAAAGCGAATACATAACACCAACAAACGTCATCTAAGAGATATGTCGTCGCCAATTAATCATCATAAAAGTAAAAGTGGCCGACGAACACCACCCAAGCAAACGCTACTCGATTTAATGCCACCTCCACCGCCAGGCGAACCGCCTCCTGAAAATATTATGGTATGCGCTTAATTATTATTATTATTATGGTATGGTATTATTATTATTATGGTAAAATATAATGGTATGCGCTTAATAATAATAATTATTATTATTATGGTATGGTATTATTATTATTATTTCAGCAAGAGTATTTGAATGAGGTGCAAGTGCGTGGTACTGCTGCTGAAGAGAATGCGAACGATCATTACGATGCTGTATCGGATTCACTGTTATTGCCATCGCATTATTGCACCGCATCTAGAAGTATTAATAATGATAAACGTATTCACGACGACGTGACTAACAAGGGTAATGATATTGTTTGTTGATGTAGTGAAGTAGTGCGATTGATTGCTTATTTGATGATGATGATGTTGCATTTTAGATATTGCGATCAGCAATGATACGTCTGCATCGTCATCGTGCTCATCGACGCTCAATCAGGAGATAGTGCGGTTGAAAGCGAACGAGCAACATTACTCAGATTCAAGTTGAATTTTGTTTGCTAATCGAATAGGAGAAGTTTCGGATGCATGCTTAACAGTTAACAGTATTGTATTCATTGAGAAATTTCTAATTGTGAGTTGGGCACAGCTCAAAAGTGAACGATAGATATAAAAATTAATGAGTTGATTGGTATTTAATAATGTTGCCGTCGATATATTTGTCGCGATTGGCGTAAGAAAGCGGCATAAGTAGCTGGTAGATTAATGAGTGAATGTATCAATCGGTGGATGATGTAAGACAGTGTGTTGGATGTGGATAGCGAGTTTAAAATAAAATTAAGGATTAACAACGGCAGCAGCAGCAAATGAAGCGGATAACGAGATGGATGCATCGTATGCGTCCAGTGCGCATCGACGTCAGCAGCCGTGTATGGGTATCAATGCTGTTTCGAGTCTATCGTGTTAGCTTGTTTTTTGTTTGTTTATTTGTTTGTTTGTTCGTGAGTAAGTGATTACTAATATATTGTTAGTGTTATTATTGCTATTGCTATAGATGATGGCACTTCATCGAAGAGGTCAACTGCGAGACTGAAGTCACTTGCGCGTAACAGTCAGAAGGATTTAGTTTAATCGTCTTCAAAATGGATTTGTTATAGTGCTCGCACGGGCTCATTACTCATTACTCTCCGAAAATTACGATTACAGCTCCGTTTTCGCATTTGGCTGTTACAGAAATTCTCCATTGCGGGTTTAGTTCCAAAATTTGAAGAGTTAACACTCTAAAATGGTGCACTTGTGTTAATTGTGCAATTGCAGTAATGCGTTTAGGAGANGGGGGGGGGGGGGTTGAGTTGCGAGCGAGCACTACTTTGTATGTATATAACCATATAAAAAAGATGTCTGTTTTACTGATGATATGACATAGTAATTATGGCATATTGTATTGTTGTTTTCACATAATATCAATGTTCATTGTATGCAATCAACAGTGAATGTGTATGTCTCCGGGTATTTATTATTGATTGATTATTGTTGTGTTCTTATTGCACTTGTCTTGCCCTATTGATGACATTATTCTATGGATTATTTCAAAATACGAGTGCTGGCTGCCTAATCGCCCACTTACGAACCGAACCGAATCACAACTAGGTGTGTGAATAAGATAGCTAGCTTTTGAAAGTAATGCCTCATCAAAAGTTTACTGTTATGAGTAGGCTGTGCAATGGTTTCATTATTTTAGCCGTAAATTTGACTGTACCTGATGGTGATCTATTCAGAAGGATTATTATTCAAACTTAGTGCAGATTCAAAGTGAATTATTTGAAAAGCTAGAGAAAGAAGAGCACGTAGATAGGTATATGGTAAGTGGGTGATTAGTGTTGTTGATAAACGTATTGTTATTGGATAGGTGGCATCGAGATAGAAGAATCTGATAATGTGTGAACGCTGACTGGTCATTTTTTATTGATTGTCGTCTGATGAATGTATCATTTTATGTGTTGTTGACGCTTGCTGCTATGTGTTGTATATTGTATGTGCGTTTTATTTATTCTCTGAAGTTGTATTATTATTATTTTTATTATTATTATTATTATTATTATGATGAGGAAACGCTTTAAACAGATACTTTGCTTGTAATTTCTGATGCAGCTTTGTTGGATTGAATAAGATTCACTTGTTGTTTCATTACTATTATATGATGCGTTTGTTGTTTTTTTATGTTTAATCACTATCACTACCACCCTTTGATTGTTTCTAAAATAAACATTACTACTGACACAAGCTAATTTAGGTTTTTTTTCCGGTTGAAACCCACAATAGAGACTATTCGGACAGTGAACAGCCGTGCGTGCTTTTGTTGTTGTTGTTTAGTGCTTACGGTCTCAGCGAAAACACTTCAGTTCACGTTCAGCTTGGTGTGCTCAGAAGTACCTAAGAAGAAAGGTAGTTTATCGAGGAGAAACGATCGATCGCGACAACTTTGGACGACCTCGTAAGGACGACTGTAAGTATTTGGCAGCTGACGAAAGTGTGCTGCAGCTTAATTTCGGTTTTCAGCACTTTCAGCAGCGACGGTGTTTGTGTGTGTGTGACGGACGGGGACAGACGGTTGCCGGTTGGATCGACTAGGTTTGAATGCCTCTGATGGATAATTGTTGTGTTTGGCAGAGTAGTTAAGAGCAGTTGATTGGTTGATTGCTAGAGACTAAAGAGAAAATACTGCTGGCAGTTTTAAATGTTCGGCTGGCTGATCTACCGCCGGCTGGGTGGTGCCTGGCTGGCTGGCTGGCTGGCTAGCTCATCATCATGCATATGCATGCACACTGCTTGTTCAGTGTGTAAGAACCGAGACGTGCCGTCGTCGTGCTCCTATCCTAGTAGACGTCTGTTTTTGAGTGTTTCTTGTATAGCGGCGGACCACCCACCGTGTTCGTTCTATATCGCTTGCGTGGTTTATGATGATCGCTGATGGAAGCGAGTTTGTCAGCTGATTTCTTCATCTAGGCTTAGGCTGCTGGCTTGTCATTAATGAGAAAATGGTTCAGATGTGTGGTTGTGTATGTTTGCATGCGATTTTTTATCTATCTTCAATGCTATTTCCATTTCACAGTGGGCTTTTTCTATCTTTTTCTATCTCTGGGTGCCTGTTGGCTGTTTGACGTTGTCTCTTGGTTGGTTCTATGTTTGCATGTCGCCATTGAGAGTAGAGTGTCTGTCTGTGTGCATGGATGGATGGATGGATGGATGCAGTAGCGTACATTTTAATATGTAGTAGTAGGTTGTTTTAAACGCATTTACTAGTAATAGTAGATGGTAATAGTAAATCTATTGTTGGTTTTAGGTGGTGATCATGAAAGCGCTTAACTGCTGCTGACGAGCTTGTTCTCGTAGCGTTGTTTCATCGATTCATTCATTCATTGCACTCTAATCGAAGAGAAATCCAGAGAGGAACTCTGTGAGAAAATAGTTCGAGAATATTGGAGGTTAGAACAACGGAAAAGATAGATAAAAATCAATTGATTTGTATTTGTGTTCGTGCTTGTGTATGTGTAAATAGATAAGTGCATGTCTTATTATTTATACGAATTGAACACTGGCTGCAATTATTGCTGTTATTATTATTATAACGGATGTTGTGCTTGTTATTATTACTATTACTCTTACTGTTGCCGTCGCATTTAATTAATCAGGTAATGCATTTAATTAGTCAGGTACTTTGTATGATTCGCTACTTTCAGGAAGCATTCAAGTAGATTTGCATTACATCCGTGCTATTTATGATGTGCTGAGTTTAGTATTCACGAACAACTACTTAGTGATGAATATTATGGACCCTATTAACAATAGCAAGCCATCATCACAAAGCAGCAGCAGCACGAAGATGCGAGACGAATCGTCGAGTATCCATCCAAAGTTACGTGCCAAACGACGAACGACCGATGATGCAGTTGGTGGTGGTGGTGCTGCTGCTGGAGCGTGCGGTGCGTGATCACTTAGTTGACAGATTGATCTGATTCGGCCTATTNTGAGTAGCAGCATTCTTATTTTAAGGGTCAAACGCGAGCAGGTCGTGCTCTTCTTCGCATCTATCGTGCAGTATGAGCAGTAGCAGCAGTTGCAGTAGCACAGTGCCGTCATCGGAACAACATCTGAAACATCTGATGCCTCCGTTCTATTCCTACAAGAACTCTAATGCAGCGAACAACACTAACAATAAGTTGCTATCAACCGATTCACCGTCATCTCTATCATCCATATCACCAACACAATCCTCCTTCATCAGCAATCTTAACTCGATATCGTCAAGCAGTAACAATTTTCAATTCGAAACCTTAGCACTAATGGAACAAATAAAACAGCGTAATCTCGGCCTGGAGATTGTATCAACTACGAATCAATGTTAGTATATAGCTGTTATGTTCAGATGTATAATGATTCAGATGCGTGCTCATTTCATTGCAGCAGGTAAATCATTGCAGCAGAGTCATCCAGCGACTTGAATGTGAATCTTCAAGAGTGGAAAGGAACACGTGTTTTGGCACATTTAACTGACATCGATGGTTATTTACCCGCTTGTATCAAGGACGTTCGTAATAACAAGGATGTCATTGTGCAGGTAGTATTATTATTATTATTATTATTATTATTATTATTATTATATTGTCATAAATGAGTTGTTTTGTCAGTTTGATAGCGGTAGAGAGCACGTTTTCGAGGATGTGATGTCGAGATCAAGCCGAGAACAGCCGGATATTGTTGCTGATCAAGCACCGAGTCCGGATTCAGTGAGTGGCATCGTTGTTTTGAGTGGAGTGTTTAGTGATGGTAGTGATTGATTTGTTGCTTCTTTAGATAAATGTATCGGATACTTTGTGTGTGAAGTGGAAGGGTGAAGAGAGCATCTACCGTTTGGCTGACGTGATCAAAAAATTGAATTCACCTGCGCGCTTCCAGGTGATCACTTGAATCACTTGATCAGTATGAATGATTACAATAATGAGTGTGTTAAGGTACGTCTTCTGAACCAGCCGTTATCTGAAAACCAGCCAGTTTGGCTGCCACGCGCAAACGTACGCTTGATGCGACCGCCTTGGTATGATGAATTGGCCGCAGTTGGCAGCTGCAATAATTCAGCACAAGAAAATCGGTTTCTTTATTATTATTGTTATTATTAATTAATTAATTATTTTTACTTAGAGATATTAAAAGGATTATTATAGTGATGAAATGTATGGGACTGATTCGAATGTCTGTTCCCCAGCTTCTTCAACTCATAATGTTTTAACACCTTATGTACCTCAGTGTTGTTCGTCATTAGCTTCTCAACTGTTAATTCATTCTAGGTTATTATTAATGTATTATTATTACTGTATTTATTATTACTATTATTGTTATTATTATTATTGTTATTATCATTGGTGTTATTAATGATAGTGTATTAAAGTGATAATGGTAGTAACACACCACAGTGCCTGCAAACGAAATCAAGCTCAAGTGATGTTGCAGACTCGGATGAGGATGACGAACAAATCAAGGATGAACAGGTTTATTTATTACCATTATTACCGTTTTCAGGTTTATTTACCGTTATCTGTCTGCATTATGCCACTTTTTTATTTACTGTTAGCACAAAGGGGAGGAGCCACTTCGGTCGCACGCGAGCATGCGCAGTAGGCGTGTTCAGTTAAAGTTAGGAGGCCANCGCTGAAGTAAAAAAGTGCCTGCCTATTGTTGATATTATCGTCATAATGCTGTTATTATTTCAGGTTGATGCGGTCTCTGACTTGAATAATTTTTCGGGCAATTCCACGCCTCATTCTACATCGATATTATTCACAAGTAACAGTAATAATCAAAACAGTAATAATAATAGTAATAATAACAATAATAATAGTAATGGTAATAAAAGGTCAGCACAACTTATCGGTATCCTGCATCAGGCCTCATCATCATCGTCTCAATATTCTCTTATATCACCGCCATCAATAAGCTCTGATAGTAATAATAATAACAATATTAATAATAATAATAATAATGATAATAGTAATATCAATAATAGTAACATAATGATAATGGATGACGAGTCGTCGTCATACCAACAACAAACGCCAACGTCATCTAATTTGCATTCGAGCTCCTCATCCAGCAATCCAGCAACTAATTCAGCACATCATATTAGTACTGCTATTGCTGCTTCACTTGCTATGCAGGTTATTATTATTATTAATTAATTAATTAATTACTGTTATTGTCATTGTTATAATAAAAAATGATTGAAGCAACAACAGCGTTACAAAAAGGGTGAGATCGTGACAACGCCAGGTGGAATACGAAAGAAATTCAACGGCAAGCAGTGGCGAAGGTTGTGTAGTAAGGAGGGTTGTAATAAGGTGTGTACTATAAATTACTTAATGCAATGCTGATGATGCTAAAGATGATGATGTGCATGTGAATAAAGGAGTCACAACGTCGTGGCTATTGCTCGAGACATTTATCGTTGAAAGGCAAATCGATTCGTTCCGAAGCAGCCGCCAATGCAATCGCCATTGGTCTCTCGTCAACACTCTCCTCTGCGAACGCTTCAGCTGCAGGTAGGTATTAATTATGAAAGCTTGCTCTTCCATAGATCCATCTCAACATTTACATTGACAGCGTCGTCATCTCAAGCGGTGATCGATTGGCGACGTTCATCACCCACTTCGAGTAGCTACTCGACGTCCGACTTGAGTAATCTCATACCGACAAGCACAAAATTCGACGAGAATGACATCGCCAATACACTCCTGAACCTGCGTAATCCCACTGCGCATCTGGCTTATGGTTGGTGCCGTCGTTTATTCATCTCTAACCAAATGAAACTTACATGAACTCATTTCAGCTGGTGCGTTGTTCAGTTCAACTGATGAACGACTCATTAAAGCTACTAGTAGCACATCGAATTCGTTCAATGCACCGATCAATGATAATTCTACTACTACTACTACTAGTACCACTATTACTACAGCTACCACTCCTACTACTGCTGCTACGACTAATGATAATAATAATAATGATAACAATAATAATGATATCAATAATAGTGATAATAATAGTAACAATAATAATAATGATAATAATAGTAATAATAATAACAATAATAATGATATGGTTATCAATAACAGTGATGACGTTAATAATAGTAATGGACGATTCGAGAGTGGTTTTTGCGATGTTACCATGCCAAAGGTTTATTTATGCATCATTTCGTTTAAACTANTATTGTGTTTGTTGGGTTGAATGGCGTGATCATCTTTTGAATGGCGGTGAGTCTGATCCGATAGGCAAATTCTGAGCAAATCGGACGGTGGTGGTGATCGAAGTTCGGAAGAGTGCGTTCACTGCTAGGTTTCGATCGATTGCGATCGATCGGAACAATTTGGTGGCTTGCGATCGCACTCAACTCGATTATGTTTGATAATTTAATAAGAAAATATTTTCAGACAGTGGGTGTGAATGGCAGCAGTGCAGCGGCGAATTCGTTCGCAAACAACACACAATTTCATCTGAATCTATCGAATACTCTTGTTGATCAGCACAACACGTCGTCGTCGTCGTCGTCATATCCTGAGCCACACGATCTATTACCTTTAATTGACATTCCGCTTAGCGTTAATACTGCTGCTGCTGACTTCATTCATAGTGTCCGTTTATGTTTTATCTTGTTTATTGCTTCGTTAAGAAACCTTTCAAATGGCTTTGCTTTCTTCTAAGTTTTACTTATGGCCATAATCAACTTGGGTTGTTCACAAGGGACGCGTTTTCGTTTTTCGTTGATCGTCGATAGAGTGTGTGGCGAACTGATCGCGCCGCGTGTCGTTGGCACAATGTCCACACCCGATGTACATAGTTGGCGGCAAAATGCCGTCCGTCCGTTGCTGACGAACGATTCGAGGGCAGTCAGGTGCTTGGTAATATGGCGATATGTGGTGGCCAAAGTAGAGATGTTGATGGTGAAATTGAAGTTGATGTGAACAAGAGCAAATAACAATCGTCATCTGTTGACTTCAGATTGACGAGAATAAGTGCGCAGCTAAGATGGAAGAGGACGATAGCATTGTGAATTCGTCGGCGTTCACCTCATTTAAACAGAACTTCATTGAGAGCAGCAGTAATGGTGTTGATAATTGTTTCGAGAGTGATCACTTTAATTACAACGAACAAACAACGGCTGAAGAGGACGTCAACTTTTCTTTGAATAATACTGACTGCAATAATAACGACAGCAATGCAACATTTTTATTGACACCACCCTCATCGTTCATTAACCAAACGCCCACACCATCAGGTTATTAANAAATATCGTGAATTTTAGCCATCATAACACAGTTAAGTGAACGAGATACTCATATGAATAATAACGATGATAACAATAATAATAATAATAATATGAATGAACAGAAAGCAGCATCTCATGATGAAAATTCGATAGCACCTCTACATAGAAGTGAGTTGATAATTTATTGTTGCTGCAAATAGTTTAGTAATTGATGTGTGAGTATATAAATATTGATAGTAATAAAAGATTTGAACAGGCTCATCAAAAGAATTATTGGACACAACAACAGTGCCGTGGCATCAGCTAGTACCACATTTACAGAAGAGATATTGCGACGATTCAATTCAAGAGAAATCAACTTCATCTCGTCATACACCTCACGAAATTGTTATTTTTAACCACCACAATTATTCGTTCGTTATTGCAGCAGCACAACTAATGTGAATACCTTTCAGAGAGGTACTGGTTCTCTATCGGATGTGGCTAATAATGACACTAGCAAAACAACTAATAATGCCAACAACACGGATAGCACTGCCAATAAAAGCAATGCCAATCCTGTGAATAATGATGATAATAATACAAAAAGCTCGTCCAATGAACTCTCGCCAACGCCTCTCAACGAATATGCAAACTTGAATTATAGTGATGATGCTGCACAAAAACTATCTGAACCTAGTAATGGTGATGAGATTGCAATAAATAGCGATCAAATTTATCAACTCGACGATAAAAGGGACGATCTGATGGCGAATATCGATTATACGTTTAACAATAATAATAATAGTAATAGTGATTTGCAATTTTATTGCTCTAATTCGTGCAAACAAGCACAAAATGAACATACCAATAATACCCATAAAAGGTGTGCATCAGAAATTAACATCAATTACGG